GGGGGGGGGGGGGGATAAAGACGATAGAAGTTTGATAGGAAAGAAGAAGCAAATCACACCAGAGCACCCGCCCACCACACACTGTTGTTGTCTATGCTTCCATTTGTTTGGTTGTTTGTTTGTTCGGTTCGTGTTATCTGCTGTCTCGTTCGCCTTCTATCTTTACGGTGGGGGTAGGATGTTCAAGTTTTTTTTTTACTTCGATTCAGGTGTCACAGAAACTGAATGTGTCCCTTTATAAATGTTTTGTTTTGTTGTTGTTGATTATAAATGACTCCATATGATCGTATTTCAGAACTAACTTATTTGATTTCTCCTCCCTCCATGTTTTGCGTAAGTGTGTCTAAAGAAATTACATTTCACTGCTTATGGTAATTGATCAGAACATCGGATAGAATGTATTAGAAGAGTTGACCACCCAAGGCCTTTCAAACTGTTTTTGTTATTAGTCATAGAGATTTTACAACTGGACAAATTTTCATAAAGAGTGGGAAAGGGAATACATACACACAGAAACACACACACACACACACACACACACACACACACTCACTTACACACACACGCAAGCACAAACACACATAATACACACACACACACAGACACACACACACACACACACACACACACACACACACACACACACATACACACACATACACACACACGTATATATATATATATATATGTGTGTGTGTGTGTGTGTGTGTGTGTGTGTGTGTGTGTGTTAGAAATCTTACATTTGGAACTAGCCCAATAAACTGGGAAAACATTGAACTTCATCGTGATTCAGCATAGTTCAAGTTACCGAAAATCGAGACAAAATACGACCTATCTTGTCTAGCTGCAATAATTGATTTTGATAAGAGAAGAAAAGAGAAGAGAACATATAATGAGAGAGAGAGAGAAAGAGTAAAAAAGAAAGAGATAATAGGGGGAGAAAAAGAGAGAGGGGATGGGGAGGGGGGGGAAGATATCGTCGAAGTCTCTCTTCCCTGTGCTTTCATCCGATTTTGTAGACGAAGACGTGTTGCATAAAAAGTCGTACTTTCTTCATTTGTATTATACAGTCATCAAACTTCTTATTTTCGAAAATGTCCAACCTTTCCTCACCCCTCCCCCTCCTCCACTCTATCGCTCCATTATTCCTCCTCCTCCTCCCACCTCTCCTACACCTCCCCTCCTCTTTTATATACCCCTACTCCTCCTCCTACATCCCCTCTTTGTCCATCCTCCAGCCCTCCCTTTAACTCGTCCCCCTCCCCTTTCTTTGCCCATCCCCCACGCATCACTTTGACCCCCCCCCCCCCTCTCCTTCGTCCCTCCTTGCTTTCCCCTCCCCTCCTCACTTCCCCCTCCTCCCATCATCCTACACTACGTCCACCTATTTTTTTTTTTTTTTGTTTGCCGGTTCGAGGGTTTTGAGCCGCGGCCCGAAATTGTGTCCTTGGGAAAGACACTTTACATGAATTTCCCACACTTCACCCAAGTGGGAATGGGTACCTGGCCATAGACAGCGAAAGATTTTGTAAGTAGGTCAGTGTTTTATCGCCTATAAATGGGTGCATGCACTGTATGCTTTCTTAGAAGTGGAGGTTGTTTCAGAATGCTCTCAGGTGTGCTGAGGTAATAGTATAGATTGTGAAGTGCATAGAGCTTGCTGTTGAGCGTGGATTTGCGCTATAGAAATTCAATAAATGCAGTCTATTATTATTATTATTTGGGTTTCTTAAACTGCCGAAATAAAATCTTCAAGACGAAGTCAAGACGTTTAAAATCACACATGCTTCATTCATTTGTAAAGCGATAAATCTTATTTCTAACCTCCCATACACTCTTGGCCTCCCCCCTCACACCTTTCAGAACTATCCTCTCCGTGATGATGACGTGATGCTGTGCTCGTACACCAAGTCTGGCTGCCACTGGGTGTGGGAGATGGGCAGACTTCTGCTGGACGGGCGGACCAAGGTGGTGGGCACAGAGAAGGAAGCTTCCATGTTGGAGGCCAATCGTTTGTTAGCGGACATAGAAGAAGCACCTACGCCCAGGATCCTGAATACTCATATGGTAAATGTGTTGTTGTTGTCGTTGTTTTTGATGGTGCTGTTGTTGTTGTTGTCGTCGTTGTTGTAGAATTCATTGTTGATTGCCGTGCTGTTATCCTTGTTGTTGTTGCCGCCGCTGCTATTGTTGCTGCTGTTGTTTTTCATGAAGACGATTTGTTGCTGTTGTTGTTTTTGCTATTGTTGTTGTTGTTTTTATCATTCTTGATCTGAAACTAGAACGGCTTTTGTCGTTGTTGTTGTTGTTGTTAGCAGTTGTGCTGAAAGTATTCCTTTTGTTCCTTTTCGTTATTTTTGTGGGGGGGGGGGGGGGTTGGGGGTTTTTTGCTTTGAATTCATCTACGATTTCTGAAATGATAGGGGTGCAAAGGATTTTTCTTTAAATCTAAAAGAATCCCACGGTTTACCACAAGGCCCAATGCAGCCCAAATACAAAGATGAGAATAAAAGCAAGGCCAGGATTATGGCGAAGCGCTAATTGGTTTACACGTTGGCTTGCAGCCCCAGACCAGAGCATCCAGAGATTATAATTTTATTATTTATATGTGTATATACATTTATTTTTTGAATTTAT